ATTCAGGCGCTGACAGACACGTGAAGAAATGCTCACAATTGTTAGCCATCAGAGAAAAGCAGACCAAAACTACAATGAGATATCATCTCACCCCAACAAGGCAAGCATTAATCCAAAAAACACAAAATAATAAATGCTGGAGAGGTTGTGGAGAGACTGGAACACTTATACACTGTTGGTGGGAATGTAAAATGGTACAACCACTTTGGAAATCCATCTGGCGCTTCCTTAAAAAGCTAGAAATAGAAGTACCATATGATCCAGCTATCCTGCTCCTTGGAATATATCCAAGAGAAATAAGAGCCATTACACGAATAGATTATATGCACACCCATGTTCACTGTAGCACTGTTCACAATAGCAAAAAGATGGAAACAACCTAGGTGCCCATCAACGGACGAATAGATAAACAAATTATGGTATATCCACACAATGGAATACTATGCAACGATAAAGAACAACGATGAAGCTGTGAAACATCTTATAACATGAAGGAATCTGGAGGTCATTATGCTGAGTGAATTTAGTCAGTCACAGAAGAACAAATACTGTATAAGACCACTATTATAAGAACTCATGAAAAGGTTTAAACACAGAAGAAAACATTCTTTGATGGTTACAAGCGTGGGGAGGGAGGGTGAGGGTTATTTACTAACTAGATAGTAGATAAGAATTATTTTAGGTGAAGGGAAGGACAGCACACACTACAGGGGAAGTCAGCATAACTGGACTAACCAAAAGCTAACAAGTTTCCTGAATACAATCAAACACTTTGAGGGACAGAGTAGCAGGGGTAGGGGTCTGGGGACCATGCTTTCAGGGGACATCTAGGTCAATTGGCATAACAAAGCTTATTAAGAAAATGTTCTGCATCCTACTTTGGTGAGTGGCACCTGGGGTCTTAAAAGCTTGCAAGCAGCCATCTAAGATGCGTCAACTGGTCCCAACCACCTGGAGTAAAGGAGAATGAAGATCACCAAAGACACAACGAAAGTAGTAGCCCAAGAGACAGAAAGGGCCACATAAACCAGAGACTTCATCAGCCTGAGACCAGAAGAACTAGATGGTGCAGAGATACCGTCAATGACCGCCCTGACAGGGAACACAACAGAGAGTCCCGGATGGAGCAGGAGAAAGGTGGGGTGCAGAACTCAAATTCTAGTAAGAAGACCAGACTTAATGGTCTGACTGAGACTGGAGAAACCCCGAAAGCATGGCCCCTGGATTCTCTTATCAGCCCAGGACCAAAACAATTTCCGAGGCCAACTCTTCAGACGGATTGGACTGGACTGTGGGACATGAAGTGATACTCGTGAGGAGTGTGCCTCTTAGCTCGAGTAGATACAAGAGACCAAGGGGGCAGCTTCTGTCCAGAGGTGAGATGGGAAGGCAGAGAGGGTTAGGAGCTGGTTGAATGGACATGGGGAGTCAGGGGTGGAAAGGAGGAGTGTGCTGTCACAGTATGGGGAGAGCAGTTAGGGTCACATAACATTGTATGTACAAATCTTCGTGGGGGAAAAAAGAAAGGTTGGCGGTTTGAACTCATCAGCCGTTCCATGGGAGAAAAATGTGGCAGTCTGCTTCTGCAAAAATTTACAGCCTTGGAAACCCTATGGGGCAGTTCTACTCTGTCCTGTAGGGTCTCTATGAGTCAGAACTGACTCAACGGCAATGGGTTTGTTTATTTTTTTTTTTTTGGAGATTATTATATAAAAGGACTTGGTCCATTATAGGTGTTCAATAAATGGCAACTATTAAAAATTCACTTTGAATTCTTAGATGCTATGCAAATATTATTATATTCTTATTTATTTATGTCTTAAAGCCTTATACAGAGTTGGACAGTCTCGAATTCCACGCTCACATTCAAGCTTTTATTTGCCTCTAAAATAACATTCCCTAGGGGAAAATGGGAAAGGGGGGAACAAGAGAGAAAGGGAAGTTTACAGAGTGGAGGTGACAGAAGTCATTAAAGCGACAGAGAAAGGCGTTTGTTTTGCACTGGGAACTATGAATCTTTAGAGTTCTAAATGTTTGTCAGGCCAGAGGTTAAAAAAAAAAAGAGAAATGCAACTAGTGACTTGTTTCAGACTGGCAACAAAGCGCTGAGGGCACTTCCCACCCTAAAAGCTTCGGCTTTCATTCAACCACCTCCAGTAAAGCAAACAAACGACAATCACCTCCTGTTTCCTATTGGCAGTGGGATTGAATAGGGTGGGGGGAATTACAGGTAAAGATGATCTCATTTGCAAAGCTCTTGGATTTAGCCCTATTTTTGTTGTTCCTTCTGGGCCTTTTTTCCACCCTCTACAAGTGTTTGAACCCTCTTTTCAGGAAAGGAGTTTACAAGATTTTTTCTTCAACCCAGGAATGGAGAAATAAGAATCAGGGGACAGATTTTTACCAGAATACCAGGTTATAAGGTAAAAGGTCATGAACAACTCCATCCAGGAGGGATCCATTTCAGAACACGCCTTGGCTACAGTTCTGGTAGGCAGCTGTTGCTGCCAAAGCTGAATAGTTTTTTGGCATTCAAGGGAATCCAGGCATAACACAGAGCAAACAAGTGGTCTGTACGGAGCTCTGCAAAGTAGGAAGAAGAAACTGGAAGCAGACAGAAGCTGAGCAAGAGAGAATTGTAGGAGTTTTAAAAACGAAAAAATTCAGCTCTTCATACCATACCTATTGCCTCTGAGTCGATTCCAACTCATAGTGACCCTACAGGACAGCGTAGGACTGCCCTATAGGGTTTCCAAGGCTGTAAATCTTTATGGAAGCTGACTGCCACATCTTTCTCCTGCGAAGCAACCTCTTGGTTAGCAACTGAGGGCCACCAGGGCTCCTTTAGCACTTCAGAGATGTACCCAAATAAATACATACCAGTGTTTCCTTTTCTCCAACATGTCTCAAATAACCACCACCCTGATCCATTACTACCCACTTCCTCTCAGCCCTCAAAATTTATGTGGTTACATATCACACTGTTAAACAGTATTGATTCATGTATTTCTTTGTAAACATTTTGTTCTTTTCATATTTATGTACACTTTCATACCCATCAAATTAAAAATCCTTCCAGAAGCCACAATTTTGAATTTTTCAAATTACCTGCTCACAATAACTCAGATCAGTATTGGTGACTGACTGAAACACCTCATGCCTAGCTGGTTGGTTAACTTTCTAGAACAGGGTGCTACCTCAAACCCACACATCCTAAGGATCAACATGTTCCGTTTTTTGTTCCTGAGGGTTGGTGCTGTGTTTGTGTTTTTTGTTTGTTTCCCAACAGAATCATGATTCCTAATTCTTGTGCTTACTTAATACTGGGGTCAAGTTACAACTTGTTAGCCTTAGGGTGTCAACCCAGTCAAGGTGTATGAGAAAAAAAGAAGGATCTTTAACAACGAATAGCCTTCTTATAGCTGAGAGGGCAAGAATTCCATATACTCTAATGCTTCTATTTACTTCTCCATCTCAGTCCTGGGGACATTATCTTCCTCTTTCCAGCATAAGACATGAAGTTATAATCTCCTGATTCTCCAAGACATATATGAGAGGGGACCAGGAACCAAAGAAAAGGGAGGAGAAATCCTGCACACGTGTAAACAAATTTTTATAACATTTATGAGTAATCTCTCAGGATTCAGCTGCTAATGCATCTCATGGCCAGCTAAAGGAAAACCCCTCAGACAGAGCGCCAAATTAAACCAACACAGAAGAATAAACTCTTTAGCTTAAATTTATAGTGCTCTGGTGAACCTTCTTTTTTCTCTTTCCCTTGTCACTGATTTCTAAAGTGCTTAAAAAGAAAGGAAAGGGGGAAAAAACCCGTTTAAAAGACAGGTAAATTCTTCCTTCAAACGGGTAAGCCCATCTCCCCACTGGCACTAGTTATAAACAAGAAAACTTTCTTGCTTCAATAACTTGAAGGCTGTGAGTAGTGTTGGGTAACAGATGTGGCAGACTTTTAATTTAGTGAGTTGGAGAGGGGATGGAGACAAAAAAAGAATGAACGTAGTTCAGGAAGAAAATGAAAAGAGTGAAGCATCCTTTTTTTTTTTCCTTTTCCAGAGGAAGAGATAACCAGAGCCTTAAGGGCACACCTTACTGAAGAAGTAGTGAGGTAAACGGAGAACATAAAAACAATGTGTTCCCCGACTTTGCTGGTAGACACGGAAGAGATTAGGGGACAAGCAACAGGATATAAACACGCCTTTACTATTTCCGCTCCAAAGAACTTGAAGAACAGAATAGAGGGGACAGGGGGTGGGGACTGGCGCAGGCACACTGCCCCAGAGCCCGAGGGGAATCCTACCCACCAGCTTTCCCAGTAGGACTGCAGAAAGGTTTAGAGTTTGTGACTAAGTTCTCCTGGTCTTCAAAGACAGCAGGTTTTTGGTTGCTTTGTTTTTATTAACAGAGATGCGGGGAAAGAGAATGACAAAAGGGATCTTCCTGAACGGTACCCACCACCACTCCCTGCCCTCCGCCCCAGTCGTAAAGTTTTCTTGGGGCTGTGAGATTGTTTCACCGGACTTGTGATTTGAGAGCGGGAATAAACTGTTGTCTCTATATTGATCGCCGTAGCTAAGACTAGGCACAAAATTCCCTCATACGCACATTTTCCCTTTACCTCAAAACGCCGCTCGCAAACAAGAAGCATCTACACCCGCCCTCCGACGACTACTCGCCCTTAGACAGGTTTACGGGTCACCGGGTCCCTCCGTCCCTTACGCCCCTTGGAAGCCGCTCGGCAACCCCTCCGCCTCCGCCTCCCGCCGAGGCAGCGGGGCAAAGCAACAGTTTTCCCCACCAGGAGCACACCGTGTCCACGAGCTTCTGCGACCTCGCTGATTGGTCGGACTCCTGGTAAACAAGAGACGAGCAGCCAATGGGAGGGCTGTGCACGAGGGCAGCACGAGCCTCGCGGCCAGCGCTCGCATGGCCCTGCCAAGCCCGGCTACTATATAAAGCAGTTTCCGGATCGTTGTTGAAATCTTTTCTCGTCTGCTCCGACGGTTTGCGGGGGCTATCCCGCCGAGATCCCGAGCTGTCTTCCAGTTATTGGGAGAAAGAAAGAAAGAACTTATTTTTCTCTTGAAATAGCTTGGTATTAGAAGCAGCTAAAAAAAATTTGACGCCGTTTAGGAAGTTCAGAGGTTGAGAGTCATTTGTGGGCTTTTTTAAATCTTTGGTCTTTAAACTCAGCCAGCTTAAGGGCATCCTCGTTACTTAGAAAGAGTGAAATAATCTCAAAAGGTCCTTCTTGGATCTTGGGTTTTTTGTTTTTTCCTCGTTTCTAAGACTTGAACAAAGCCAGCCCAATCATGGTGATGTTCAAGAAGATCAAGTCTTTCGAAGTGATCTTTAACGACCCAGAGAAGGTGTACGGCAGTGGGGAGAAGGTGGCTGGCCGGGTGATAGTGGAGGTGTGTGAAGTGACTCGAGTCAAAGCCGTCAGGGTCCTGGCTTGCGGAGTGGCCAAAGTCCTCTGGATGCAGGGCTCGCAGCAATGCAAACAGACCTTGGATTACCTGCGCTACGAAGACACGCTTCTCCTGGAAGACCAGCCGACAGGTAAGAACGACTCTCCACTTCTGCCCCTCTGAGGGAGTGTCCCAAGGTTGGTTATTTGTTAAACAAGGCCTGGAGGGTGAACGCTGATTAGAGAAGAAAGCTGAAATTAATAAACGTAATCTATACTAAATATTCTAACCTACTGAGGTTGAGTGGTTGAATTTTGTGTTGATTCCTTTTTTTTCTTTTAGTTTTAATCTGCAAACATCCCTCCCCCCAAAAAAGGGTGATTAAATACAATTTATGATGGTGCTGTGTCCTAAAGGTGATCCTGAGGGGTGTTGCCTCAGCTATTGAGAGAGATCTGTGTGATAAAGTTGCTTACTATTTGCTTGCTTTATCTGTGAGATGATAGTGGTTTAACTGTCTTGGCTGAGTCTTTGAACAATGCAAGGCTTTGCAACTTTGTGCCCAACAAAAATGCATCAGATTTCACAGTTAAGAACATAAAGGATGAAAATGGGGGTCCTACAACATCCTTACGTGCTACTCAAGCATTTCTTATCACACAGATGCATTTTAAGCATAACAAGAAACCCCTAATGGTTGCTCACTTTTCTCTCCCTTCAGGTGAGAATGAGATGGTGATCATGAGACCTGGAAACAAGTATGAGTACAAGTTCGGTTTTGAGCTTCCTCAGGGGTAGGTTTTAGCTGGACTCTTTTATCTTTAAAAATCTTTCTGTCCTTTGATTTCTTACTGTTTTTGGTGAACATTTTAAAATTGTTTACTTTTTCTTGACACAGGCCTCTGGGAACATCCTTCAAAGGAAAGTATGGGTGTGTAGATTACTGGGTGAAGGCTTTTCTTGATCGCCCCAGCCAGCCAACTCAAGAGACAAAGAAAAACTTTGAAGTGATGGATCTAGTGGATGTCAATACCCCTGATTTAATGGTGAGATTGATTTTAAGATATTCTATTCTCCTGAGTCATGGTGGACATTAGACTGAAGTATCTCAAGTCTTAGTCACGAAGGTGGGAGGGAAAGCTGTCTCTTAAGGAGTAGAAAGGAGAGAGGGGGGAAAAATCTCGAGATTCTTAAAACAATTTTTTTTCTCCTATTCTACATAGGCACCTGTATCTGCTAAAAAAGAGAAGAAAGTTTCCTGCATGTTCATTCCTGATGGGCGGGTGTCTGTCTCTGCTCGAATTGACAGAAAAGGATTCTGTGAAGGTAAAAAACCTAGTGCCTAAAATGAGTAGGCTGATATTAACAGGAACTTTAGCTTTGGGGGTTGGAGGGGGCAGAGAAAATGTCATTAACTATACTATCAAGTAATAAATCTTCATCTTTCTTATTACTAGGTGATGAGATTTCCATACATGCTGACTTTGAGAATACATGTTCCCGCATCGTGGTCCCCAAAGCTGCCATTGTAGCCCGCCACACTTACCTTGCCAATGGCCAAACCAAGGTGCTGACGCAAAAGTTGTCGTCGGTTAGAGGCAATCATATTATCTCAGGCACATGTGCGTCATGGCGTGGCAAAAGCCTTCGGGTCCAGAAGATCAGGCCTTCCATTCTGGGCTGCAACATCCTTCGAGTTGAATACGCCTTACTGGTGAGTGAGTGGGGGTGGCTATAGGAAAGAACTGTTTGTCTCTTCAACAGTGGTCTTTTCTCCAGACCTCTAGATTGACAAATTGTTATCTTCCTTTATAGATCTATGTTAGTGTCCCTGGCTCCAAGAAAGTGATTCTTGACCTGCCCCTGGTAATTGGTAGCAGATCAGGTCTGAGCAGCCGGACATCCAGCATGGCCAGCCAAACCAGTTCTGAGATGAGTTGGGTAGATCTGAACATCCCTGATACCCCAGAAGGTGAGCCAGACCTAATGCCTTTTCTTCCCCATTCGGCCTGTTGCTTGGGTTTGTGAATTGTAGTGGTCAGGCCTTTCTTGAAAAGGCTTCTTATCCATATTTTCTCTCTTCAGCTCCTCCTTGCTATATGGATATCATTCCTGAAGATCACCGGTTGGAGAGCCCCACCACCCCTCTGCTAGATGATGTGGATAGTTCTCAAGACAGCCCTATTTTTATGTATGCCCCTGAGTTCAAGTTCATGCCACCACCTACTTACACTGAGGTGAAAATTGTCATTTGTCCTAAGCCTTCTATAGGATGTTGACTTGGAGGGATTGCTAAGCTAGGTTGTTCTTTTAGTTCTTACCCAAACTAAAGTGGTCTCTTCTTTGTTTCTCCAGGTGGATCCCTGCATTGTCAACAACAATGTGCAGTGATCATGTGAAAGAAAAGCAGCAGCTGTACCTACTGGTTTCTTTCTGCCCCTCTTCCTGGACTCTTACATTTTCAGAGACTCAACAGTCTCTACAGTGGGGTATGGGTCCACCTCAGCCTCTGACTTCCCAATGTAGGAGGTCATCAGCAGGCCATCTCCTGGGCCTTAAGCAGTGTGGACTCGTTGGGCAGCGCCAGTGTTGTGATATATGGATGTCTGCTGGATGGGTTTTAAAACACACCAGAAAAACTCAGGCCTGTCTGATTTTCTCAGATCTTGAAATTGAGGCATTTTTATTAGTTTTGAGTCAAGGGTAGAAATGGCCTGCTGGCATGGTCTTCCCAAGGTTTTTGTGGAGGAGATATTATAGATTGTGGTAACAACATCAGACCTTGAACTTCTGGGCCATGTACAACAGAGCTGATTTTGCAAACTAGGAAAATGAAAAATATATAATATGGCCAAAACTTTGGGAAAAGGAGGTTCTTAAAATCAGTGTTACCCTTTGTATACTTACATAGAAAAAAAGAGAAACCATCCAGAGGTGATTTGGTTCAGACTTTGGAGAGAGCTTTCCCTGTGAATTAAAGGGAAGAAGCTGTAAATTGTCATTGCTCAGAACATACTATATAACCTGGCTTAAAGCTGTAGTAATTATGTCCCACCAAAGGTCTTAAAGGCCTTTTTTTTGAATCTGTTGCACTGTGTTCTCCTGTTGGAAACATTTTCATATGGGAGAATGTGTTTCTCTTTTTCATGTAACTCCTTAGAGTTGATTCTGAGGTGAAGTTGTTAGCACTTTAGTTTGTCAAGTTTTTTTCTCCCCCCCATCTCTAATGTAAGCTGAATCGTCTACCATGTCTAGGCATAAAAACAATGACCAAAAAAAGTTACTACTTTTGATACTTTGTTCCAGTGTACAGAATTATATAATTCTGATCCTCTGATCATACAAGAACAGTTGCTGCTGCCAGTCTTGCCCACTGTGACTTTTCCAAACCAAAGGAGGGACTCTAGATCAAGATGCCCCAACACTGTGATCATAGCCTTTGGATGCTGCCATGAGAAGCCAGAGGGCAGGTCTTCACAAAGGCCACTGGGCCCCTTTCCTGAGCATCAGAAGACCCAGATGTTCACAGCCCCTCTCACTGTACCCCTAGCACTTGGTCAGTCACCCTCAGCCATAGCACTTTGTTCACTGTCCTGTGTCATAGCACTGAACTCCACGTTTTTTGGAGAATTCTACAGCTAGAAAGTTTGTGGGCTGAAGGTGGTTTTGTTTTTTTAAATTGTGTATCTTTTTGTATGGTAAAAATTACATTTTGTACTTAACCAGATATATTTTCACCCTAAGTGGAGATATTCTTTGTAAAAAAAAAATAAATAAATTTTAAATGACAAAATGTTGAGTTTTTTGTCTATAAGATGACCTTGGAGAAGTTACTAGAAAGAAGGTATACCTGAAGGTGCTTTTCCCCTAGATTGTAATTCACCTTACTGAAAATCCTGTGGAGAGGGTAGTTCTGATGACCCTAAAGAATACAGTCAGAGTGGGTGTTGGAGCGGTGAGAAGGGAAGGAATTTGAGCTACATTTAGTTTTCCTTCCTACCCCACTGTACAGAGTTTCCTGGTGGTCTAAGCTTGTTTGCTACATCCATAGCTAATCCTTACTAAATTTCTTCAATTTTGGAGTGTATGAGCTCTTGAAATAGAGGAAAATAAGGTTTGTGAAGGAATTTAGAAGGAAAGGGTCGAGATTCCCTTTTTTATAACTTAATCATAGGGTTTCTTCCCACAATACCAGTTGCCATGGAGTCAAGTCAGTAAAACTGCCCCATAGGGTTTTCAATGGCTGGTTTTTCAGAAGTAGATTGCCAGGACTTTTCTTCTGAGGAGCCTCTGGATTAGCGACCGAGTGAGCTAACCAAACCTGGTTATATTGCTGGCTATAAACCCCTTGCCATCGAGTCAATTCTGACTCATAGTGACCCTATAGGACAGAGTACAACTGCCGCACGGGGTTTCCAAGGAGCAGCTGGTGGATTCAAACTGCCGATCTTCTGGTTAGCAGCCATAGCTCTTAACCACCCTGCCACCAGGGTTCCTATAGGAATAATTCAGGACTAAAGAGTTTAGAGTTATGAGCATTTGATTCTTTGAAGACAGCTACCATTTTTATCTATGTAGTTCCTAGCATAGTTCTATCCAAGTATATAATCATAACTCAGTAAATGTTTGCTGAATGTTCAGCGCCAACCTCATCCCTCAGGATATGCTTCTGCAATTCCTATTTCTTCCTCGTAGGGTAATAATAGATACCACACTTCCACCTCTAATTGAAGTGATTTTTACTATTCCTAAAGGAATGACTAGGGTGAAAAACCCTGAGATGGTAGAGGTCAGTGGACTTTCTGATTTCTGGCTTATTTAAACCCTTGCAGACATCTAGTCCCAGCCCTTATATGGGGGTTAGCTCTTCCATGGACCTCCACATACTAATTCCAAACATCAGACTGCTGGAAGTTCTACATAAAATCAGTGTGAATTAAACAGAAAATAAAATTAAAAAGATCCTTTTCCATTTCAAATTCCCTTTGTTTATTTCTTTCATTCTCAGTAGCTCTTTTGCTCTGTTCTCTCCCAGTTTTTCTTTAGTAATGTGTCAGTGTCTAGCTCTCCTGTTGCCATGGTGACTCTCACCTGATAACTTACTTCTCCCCCCTCCCTTGCTCACCTGTTCAAGAGTCTAGTGGCTCCTCCCCTTCCAATTTGTATCAGGAAACTAGGTCAGAGTTGATGGAAAAATTTTTTCTTGCAGCTTGTTTTCCAGGGACTGGAGGGTTGGAGCAAGGACAAGAGCAGGCTGGAAGGCTAGAGGGCAGGACAAAGGGATGGAAAGACAGTGGAGTGGGAGCGCCTAAGCCTGGTTGTGTACTCAGCTCGGCTACTAGTACAAGATATGAACAGGAGTGGGTGGAGAGAGGATAGATAACTCACATCCAAGGCCTGTTAGAGATTTGATCCTGGAAAGGCCAGGACATATGCATCCCATCCTCATACTCTACCACCCCTAATCCAGTACTATTCAACAGAACTTTCTATGATGATAGCAATGTTCTGTATCAGTGCTGTCCAATAGAGTAGCCACTAGTTACATGCGGTTATTAAGCTGTGGCTACTGTGACTGACATACTGAATTTAAAACTTTTGTTTAATTAGTTTTAATTTTAATAGCCTCTTGTGACTACCCTATTGAACAGCACAGCAAAGTCTGAGGAAGGAAGTAGGCAGCTCTAGATGTTCCCCCAGAGGAAATCTGTCTCTCCCTTAGGACACAAAAGGCTCCTCTCTACTTCCTTTTCCTTTCCACACATAACTTCTACTCTACCCCAGGACATTTCCTGCATACAGCCTCTCTTAAGTATAATTCCCAGTTGTTTCTCCACTTAAGTGAGAGGATATTTTAGGTGTTCCTTTCCCAAGCTCTTCTCACATGGCGTTTTTGTTATTATTGTGGGAAAATATGTGTAACAAAACATTTGCCATTTCAACTATTTTTATGTGTACAATTCAGTAACATTAATTACATTCACCATGTTTGCAACTATCACCATGCCTTTAATTTTTAAAGAGCTGTAACCTACATGTACAGCCATCGGAGGAGATCTAGTTCTGAGTATCACTTATTCATTAGGCCCAATCTGGTTTAGAAAGATCTGAGGAAAGACAGAAAACTATCTAAAGAGAGAAAAGAGCTAGAGAAAGTAAAATTAACAAGAAAAAGGTAGGTACTTCCATAACCAGGGTCCTTGGCTACCTTGATACCTCTGAAGAGATGGAAACACAAGGATCTAACTTGGATGGAGGCACTGAGAGGGAAGTGTGGAGAGTGGAACTGATAAAGCACATGGCCAGCAAGAAAAGATCACACAGAAGCTGAAGGGCATGAAGTAGGGTGAAAGAGGGACATTCACCCAGTTTTTTTCAGCAGGCTACTGACCCCTCCTAGAGTTCTTTCCTTCGACCATCTGTAGGTGAGAAGATGATGGAATATATTAGGTGGATAAGGAAAATATTTCACTGATCTTCACTGGCCATGGAGCCCTGGTGGCACAGTGGTTAAGAGCTTGGCTGCTAACCAAAAGGTCAGCAGTTCAAATCCATCAGCTGCTCCTTGGAAACCCTATGGGGCAGTTCTGCTCTGTCCTATAAGGTTGTTATGAGTCAAAATCCACTCGATAACAATGGGTTTCAATAGCCACAGTCCCTGCCACTAAGCAGTCCAACCTCAATAGTTCTGGACTGGGAGACTGGAAACTTTTGTTTCCTTCTCTGTTCTGACTTCACTTCTATCCTCATTTCCTAAACTGAAATCCTCCCTATTTAGCTTATTTAGGCTATTCCTGTCCTGTTGTGATCTTTTCCTTGACTTGACCCTGCCCAACTCTCTGCAGAGTCTGTTATGTAAAGAGAAAAGAATGAACAGACTCTGAAGGCTGGGATTGTTCTGACTACCAATTGATTGGTCATCTCCAAGCAACAGAATGATGGGAGAAGGAGAAGAGCAGAGAGATCATGGGGACGCAATTGTGAATCCCACGTGCCCTGAGTCCTGGATGTCAAGCAAGATCTATCTTCATTCCTTGTTCGGTGATGGAGTTGTGGACTACCTCTTCAAATCAATCAAATGGTCAGTAAACAAGTTCTTGGTAATGTCTGGCTGGGTACCCAGCTTTGATATTTTTAACCTCCTGGAAAGATGGAAGGATTTCAGTTGCTGAGGGGTGGGTGCATTCAGAGGCATGAGAACTGTGCTTCCCTTATATGGTCCTGTAGTTCGAAGTGCCCCCCCACCCCACTCCACCTGTCTAAATTCTGACTTCTTCCATCATCTATCCAGACTCATGGTTAATCCTTTATATTATGTTCTCCCAGTTCTCTTCATTCCCTGCCTTTCATACTTGCCTCACTTTCCAACCCTGAGTAAACTTAGGTTTCTGTTCCAGACCCAAGATGTTTTTAGCTCCATATCCTTGTAGATATGAAAAAGGGTTGTTGGGCAGGGCCCATGGCTCCTTTTCTCCCCCGGAGAATGATCTGATGAAGGTACCCAGGGCCTTCTCTGCAGTTCTGACTCCCCAAACTGTCCTGCAGGAGAGCTCCAGACTCTCCTGCAACATCATGTTCCTCACTGCCCCCAACTCTTGGGAACAGACTTTGAGACCTTAGAAGGCCAGGTTTGGGTTTCACAAACCTTTGGAAAGTAGAAAAAAGTTCCGTGGAGGTCAGAAAAGTTGGAAATAGTGAAAAAGTTTGACAAGGCAAGATCTGCTGAGTACGGTTTTGGAAAACTAGGTCACCCGGGAGTTGGAGGTGGTAGGAGGGAGGGAGATCATTGACAAGCCCAGAAGATCCTTTTGACTATGAGAGGGGTCTGGAGGTTAGGAATGCAGTAAGGAAAAACAAAAATTACCAAAATTCCCAGTTTGGGACTTTACCCTCTCTTGGCCTTTAATCTGGGTACCCTTCTATATCTAAAGACTGATTACTTCTCTCCCCTTATTCTTTCCTACATCTCTCCACCCCTTCTGATGCTGCCTTCCCTGTTTTGTGTCCCCTGACATAGGTGCTCCAAGGTTGATGGGAAGTTAGAGGAGAGATGGGGTTAGGGTAGGGGAGATCACACTGTGATTTATGTTTCTCTTCCTGTGTCTCGATTTTAGCTGAGGTTGGTGAACTGAAACATGGCTGGAGGAAACCCTAAGCCAGAGGCAGTGAACTGGGGGCCCATAGGCCACATCAGCTTCAGACATGTGGATCAACCTGTACAGTTTTTCCCTAAAATTTTGAATTGGTTGCAAACATTTAAAAACTAGATCTTATTAAAATCTACAGTTCTGGCTTCTTTTAAAAACAATTATATTTGGTAACACCAGGCCCACATTCTTCATGGTGTCAACCAGCTGGAGCCAAAGGGGCTGGGCAAGCTCTGGTTTGCCAGTTCTCACCACTCCCTATTACACTACCCACACCAGCTTCACTCTGTTATATCGGCCTGACTCTGTCTGGTGTTCAGGTTTGTCTTCGGTTTGTCACCTCTGTTCTAAGTACAGCCTCTCAAATATTTCTTCTGCAGGACCTCTATGACTAGGGAGAGTGAACTATTTTCTCCAGGGCTCCTGGAACAGTCCAAAGTAGCCCATCACAAGCCAGAAATGTCTTTGAAGTATCTATTTATCTTTAAAAAATACAAATTTTGATTTATATTGCATAACATATTTGTGTTAGTTACAATATAAAAATGATTTATCTTCCCCTACCAAATCTTAAAAGTAAAATTGACACTCTGAAAGATGTGCCATATGTATCCTGTGGCTTCAAATAGTCCTCACCATCCCACCC